CAAGCGTGCATTTTTCCACGTTTCCGTTTTAATTTCAGTGTTTATTTTAAGTATTTATTTCATGCACATGGGAGAGAAACACAGAGACGCTCGGTGTATTTTTCTCAAATTAACTTAGAACAGTTCTTAAATATTTTTCTGTTATTTTTCACGCTTTCCTGTGCTCACAAGATTGCTAGCGTTCGTAGCTTGCATTTCTATGCATTCCTGTGTTTACAACATTGGCATTGTTCCAAAATCACGCACATTCTCCTTTCTCCCTATTTGCTGGAGATACAGTAGCTTTTTTAAATACAATTGGTCACTTGCGTCCGTAGCACGCATTCCTATAGAGTGGTGTAGAATTACAGAGTATCTCTTGTGTCCACTGAAGTATAAGAGCGCACTGTGCATAGGCTGTGTATTCGACACGTATAAAAATACAAAATATGAAAACCCGTCCCGATTTTTTCAGCGCACACAACACAGTTCCAGGGTCATTTGGCGTACCACTTGGCGGCACGCCACGTACCACTGCCGGTACGCGTACCACAGTTTGAGAACCACCGCCCTAGTGGACCATCTGCGCAGGTAGCCATCAGCATCCACCTGTCTGTGTTTCTAGTCCAAAAACTCCCTTAACTAACTTCCTTCGGTACCTGGAGGTCTACTGGATTCTGGCAGCAACACATTCTGGCCTATCTGTCCTTGCCACAGTGGAGGGAGCCCCGATCTTGTCTGCTCCAGCAGTTCCACAGAGTCTCTGATCCCGTCTGTTCTAGTGGTTCCACAGAGTTGCTGATCCAGTCTGCTCTAGGAGTTACACAGGGTCCCTGAGCCAGTTTGCTATAGCATGTTCTCGGGTGTCCCTGGTCCCTTCTGCTCAAACTACAGTACCCCCAGAAACCATGCCTGCATCACAATAACTGGAGGCATAGCTCCTGTTCTGTCTCTCCTGCCCCCTTCTTCTAACCCCCTTGCTTGTCCCAAACTGCAACTGGTGAGTGTAGGGGGTCCTGTTGACTACTCCAAGAACAAAACGGTGTCTCATAAGTACGTTGCGTGGAAGTGTCGCAGATATATAGTGACCACCACATGAAGAAACTGTAGCCAAATACACCACCTAGCAATTTTATGGGGTGCTAGAATAAATTAAGTCAACACCTGTTCAATATAAATTTAATCTGATGTTAACCAGTTGTGCTTCAGATATCCTATTTTTGCTATAACAGTAAGTAACACTTTATAGCCAGTAATTACAGAGTTAGATTTTTGGTGCTTAAATGGAGGTGTCCTAAGAAGGGGTCCGATAGCTTGGAGACGTTGAAAACTCCCGCTTTTCGGAATACAGTAAATCCCATGATGCCCGACTGTGAACAGAGGTTTTTTCTTTATGAGTTTGAAGGATGATGGGACTACGGAAGCCTTGGAGGTTTAAACTGCATCTGCACGGCAAGGGTGACTTCCTTTGCTGGCGTTGTTCATCATATTTCACCGTGCCTCACCGCCAAGTGCAGCTCTTACTGAGCACTGGAATAATTGGGGTTTTCTTCTCCTCCGACACATATACAAACCGGGATGCTGAGGTGTCTTTAATGCAGAAAACGTTTTTTTCCGTGAAATCTCTATAAATACGAAAGAAGCAAGAGGATAATACGAAAGGTAAATAGGGTAAGTGTGGCAATCCCATATTCAGAGTGGTTCGTGGAGAAACGCGGGCCTGGGAAACTGGATTTCTGTACCCATTCAAACCGGGTTTGAAGGCATATTTGGGTAATTTATAACATTTGTATCTCGGCGGATGGCAGACGTCGCCCTCACGGAATTTTTGTTTAAATGGCTGATTTTGTTTGTTTTCAATTGCGTCACGCAGATAGCTCGCTCTGTGTGTTTATTTTGTTATTGATTTCCCAGTAAAGGGGAAAAATGTTGTTTTTTTTTATAGGTCGGGCATAGAAGCTGATATATTTTCAGTTTGCTCTTTGCTGCATTTCTTGGAGAAAACACTTAGTCCCATCCTCATGGGGTACAGCAGCATTGATGACTGAGTTACGTTCTGTATTCCTTGGGGAGTATATTTTCGAAAAACGACTTCATGTATTTTAACAAGACGGGTGACAGAATAGTTCACTTGTTTATTGCACTGCGCGATTTTTGAGAAGCTAAGCTCAATAGTTTCAGATTTATACAAGAGAAAACGAAATAAAAATGGAAACAACACCCTCGCAAGGCATAATTGCATTGTTGTCACCCAAAATATTTTCCTGTATGTCATATGGCCAATTGTAACCGACTTAAATCACATGATATTGACAGCCCGAGGAGTGTCCTAATTCTGTTGTAAGCTTCTTCATTTTAAACAGAAATTGTATAAGTAGCATTGAAATGCAACACGCGTTTGAGGGCTGCTTTTAGACCTTCATTGTGTGGTATTTTTATCTATTTATATTAAAATTGGGAGAAATTCAGAGACCTCTTACTAAGAGTGGGGTTTAGCATAGAGTAGAAGAGTTAGGTTGAGTAGTGACAGTATGAGTTGCCTGTATTTTTCCGAAAACAATATCTGCAGTATTTTTCCTTGCTTAAATCACTGATTTATGGATAGCTTTTTAAAATATATTAATTGGGTGGTTATCATGCTCCTGCTACTGAAAGACGTGTGCTCCGTTTATGCGTCTGTCTGAGAGTGTTTGTGCATAACATACTTGTGAAATGCCATTTCCATTTTAGCTCAATGAACGGAGCAGCATTCCCTTCTCCCACTGCAGAAATGGCAGAAATTAACCGCATCCAGTATGAAATTGAATACACGGAGGGCATCAGCCAGCGTATGAGGATCCCAGAGAAACTGAAAGTGGCCCCTTCGAATTCCGAGGAGCAAGAGGAAGGATTGAGGGAGACCCACCACAGTGCCATGATGCACGTGCCTGAGAGAATCGTGGTAGCAGGTACTGTAGCCGGACAGTGATGCCAACAAGAATGTGTACGCACAGCTACTGTGTCCTGTTTACAGCACCAGCTTTAAAAAAAAAACAACAACTTGTGATGTAGTAGCCTGTTGTGCCCCCAAAAGAGAGTTAAATCGTTATTCCAAAAGAGGACTTTCTCTTTCCATGTCTAGTATTCAAAACAGTCCCAATATTTCCAAATCGCAGCCTCGTGGGTTGGCATGTCTTCATCCTCAGTTCGGACTACATTGAAATGATGAGCATCAGTCAAGACATGTAGTAGTGTAGTTTCTCACTATTCAGGCTTCTTATTTATTTGTGAGATCTTGTTTATTTATGAGGATGGGAATGATGATAAAGATATTAGTTGTATGTCGTGTGATTTCAGTGTTGATATCTAGTCACATTTATAAATGTATGAATATTGCTCATTTAGGACATGTCTGCTTCTTTGTTGTTGGTATAACTATTGATAGTGTTGGGTTTAAGTTTTACATAAGAACTGCTACAAACTAGAGGAGGCCATTCAACCGATCTCCCCTGTTGGGAAGTTAGTAGCTGATCTCATGCAGCCTTTCTTGATAGAAGTCAAGGAGTTGGCTTCAACAACATGGCTGGGTAGGTTCTTCTTTTATTTTGCCTGTTTTAATAAAGATTGATTCTAATTGCCCCAAGTGCGTGAATTCCCTCAAAAGAATTGAGAGGGGTGTTAGTATTGACTCTTTCGGAAGCCTTTCAACACCGTGACATCCAGATTCAAAGTTTAAGATATGCAAGATTTACATCTGGCTACATGTGGAGTTTAATTCAGTTAAACATCTAAACAAGCTGAGGTCTCTGGATGAGGCCAGTTATTCTTTGACTGAAATGTCTCCCTCAGTCCCAGTGTGAATCCGGTATTCACACAGGCAGTGAGGATGTGGAGATCTGTAGTACAAAATGAAATAAAACTGTTTAATAAAGAGCTGATTTTAGAACAGCTTGAGGATTGGATGCATTTAATTTGTCTCTACAACTGATAAATAAGTATAAAAGGTAGGACCCTTCTGATGTTAATAATAATATAGCATATTATATATAATATATGCCCCCCGACTAGCTCTGTTGGTATAGCATGAAACTCATAATCTCAGGGTAGTGGGGTCATGTCCCATATCGGGCGTAAGGTTCCCTAATAACCCATATTGGGCAGCAGCAGTATGGGGGGGGCGTTGTTGGCGGTATCTGCGTGGAAGAAAGGCCTGGCAATCTACTGTACTTCTGCATCTTGCTCTGTGCTAACCATATCTATATAGTGGTCAGAAATGTACTGGCATGGTCTCCATGAAGTTAATGTTTTTGAATGTTTTTAACACTACAGATTTTGTTTTTTAATGCCAACCTATTAGTCTTTGATTAGTGGTTTTACTAACAAAGCAATGCATTTACATCTGTCTTTTTTTAAGTTTGTTTGTGTTTCTCAAGGACATTTTACTTCACTCTTCTGTTCTAATAGGTGATGGCGACGATCTGCAATATTCCCGTCCAAGAGACCTCGATCTCATTCAGTCGACTCCATTAGAATCACTGGCGCTTAAAACACCACCTCGAGTCCTGACCCTAAATGAAAGACCACTGGATTTCCTGGAGCTGGATCGATCAGTAGGTTCAGCACATCACAATGAGGAGGCAAGTATATAGCGGCACTGGGTTATCTTCCATACAGCAGTTCTGCATGATCTGTAGTAACAGACACAGTGCCAGTGAATGCTTAGTTATACACTGAGCATACTCGGCTGCCTGTGGAAATGTTAGCATCCTCGGTCATCAATATTATCCATTGATATTTTTGTTCGCTACACTTATATTTAAAGAAACATACATAACAGTAGTCTTAGTTTGCTATTCTATGTTTGCTAATTTATGTATGGTATGAATTAAAAGTGAAAACATTGCCAAAAGACTGTGTAATGCATGTGCTGGGTACTGATTTGCCAACACTGGGAATTAAACAGAACATGAATATGCCAGTTAATGTAAAATTTGAGACCTTCTTTTCATGAGAAATTGAACATTGAATGTTCCCAGTGTGAAATTGTGGGGCAACTATGTTTTGTCATTTCTCGTTAGCAGCATTATTTATTTGACTTACAACTTTTATCAAAGTTGTCTTCCACTGAAACTCAACTGCAGTGGAAATCAAGTCAGGAATGAAATATCTTCCCAACTAGTATGACGTTACTTTGCAGAGCCAAATTGGTCTCTATTTCCTTCATGCGGCAGTTTGCCTGCTCTGTAGCAGATGATGCTTGGTCTCCCTTTGGTTAATCTGGAAGCTATCCCATAGCCAGTGCTGGATCAGAGTGCAGTTTACAGCCATTCTCAATGTTTACTGGCTGTGTTTTCTCACAGGTGCGATCTCAGGGCCGATCACGCAGGGAGCGCTCAATGAGTGAAAACGCTGTCCGGCAGAATGGACAGCTCGTGAGAAATGACTCCATGTGAGTAAAGAGTAAGCGTTCCTCTCCACCTTTCAACCTCATAATGTCTGTTCACTTCTCCTTCTGCTTTTCCTCCATCTATACATTGTGTATTCCTTCCATTCACAGCCTTGGGGGGGGTGAGTTTCTTCTTTGCAACTTCTTCGTGTGTTCCTCATGGCTTGTGTTTGCTTCATCCATTGTAGATTTTTGCTAGAAACACGCTTTGTTGTGGCAAGTGATGCTGACTGACAGCTTTGCTCAGTAAACATTGTTTTGCTAAATGAATAAAAAGTGCAAAATGCTTAATAAGTAATGTTTTTCTTAATCTAGAAAAAAAGCCCTAACGTTAACATACATATTTGTGGAAAAAAAAAAACAATGTTAACACACTTCTTATGAAAAAAAGTGCAGAATCAGTTTTTTTTTTGTTTTCACTGTTTAACAATGTCTTATTTCCACTTGCGAAGATGATCATGTTAAAGTGACTTCGGTTGCACCTTGTGGAAGAAATACGAGTGTAGTACAAGTCTGAAATGAAGCCTCTGGGGGGACTAGTTGACACAAGGTGCTCCATCTGACTCAGCATTACAATGTGGTGCAGGAGTCAAGTCTTGATCTGTACTTAATAAGGCAATGCGCAGCTTTACATGAAGCAAAGGAGCAGACTGTGCTTCTCTTATTACCCAAAGCAGTATTGGTATGGATATTATTTTTCAAAATTTTCCTGGTCTGAATTCTGTCAAATTCAATGTTTCGCAACATTGACCTAGAGTCATGACTCTAGAAAGTTGTCTGGATTCTGTCAAATATTCGTTGACAAGCTTGCTGTTTGTTTTTTGCCGCAGCCACAAGGGCGATCTAGTGTTTTCAGGAGATCCTTCCAGGGCCTTACAAGAAGTGATCTTGTTTCCTTTTTTAGTTTCCCAGATTTAGTAATGCCGTCCAAAGGTTTTATTATGGAGAGTGACTTCAGCGAGTACATTTCACATTGTTTAGCAGTCAGTCTGAAGGAAGCAATCATTTTCTCTTTATTAGTTTACTTATTAATTGTAAAAGAGGAATATTAAAGATTACTGTGAAAGTAGTCATCTTATGTTTTCAGGGTAAGTATGCCTGTTAAACGTTTGTAACGCAGTTTCAGACTCTCTCTTGTGTGCACATGCGTGGGTGAAGTGCACTGGTTTCTTGTCTCTCTCTGACTTGGGTCTTTCTCCTCTTGCTTGGCTGCACATTGTTGGGCAGTGTGACTCCATCCCCCTCAGCTCAGGCCCGTGTCTGTCCTCCTCTTACCTCGCCGGAAGATGGACGAAACCTATACACCGCTCGCGGCGTTTTGTCTCTAATCCAGTCCACGACCCGCAGGGCTTACCAGCAGGTCATGGACGTGCTGGATGAAAACCACAGAAGGTGACTAGCTCCTAGAGGCTCCCCATCTGTAGTGTCATGTTGTGTCGAGGTGGTGTTTTTGATGTTTCATAGATTAATTTCCACTTGCCTCTACGTATTCGACCTGTATTCTACGTAGAATGAGTTAGTTCTCAGTTACTCACAATTTCAGTCTTCCATATTTCACAGTAATATTAATAATATTTAATAATAAGTAAATACGTTAACATTAAAATGAGCTTTTAAAAAAAGTAATTTCTGCACAGGCTGGCTCTACATTTACTGGTTTTGTGGCTTTACAGGTTCAGAAATTCACATTTCTAATCTTATACATCAGAGCTTCCATTGTGCTGTGTTTAGCTTGCTTTGTGTGCGTTTGTATAGCTACCATACTAAATTAAGACAACAAATGTAAGTGCTAATGTACATGTACTCATGGCAAAGGTTTTAGCAGTAATAAGCTTTTACTGTACTTCATGCATTTAATTATATAAAAGTTTAACCTCTTTTTTTTAACTTTGTAGTTGAATATGATTTTTATAGCATGGCTCTTACAGATCTTATATGGGAACATTGAACAATATTTCTGATGCAGCATAAGATGAAGTAATTTCATCCTAAATTAAGTTTTTGCATTTTAACAGTTCGTTATGTTAACCAGCTTCAAATAATATTATTTCAAAGAAGGACTTCTTATGTCAGAGACTAATTTTGAGATAGTTAAATGGATTGTTTTGAAAGCCCTGGTTTGACTCTTGGGTGATTTTTCATCAGTCTATTTTCAATGTTGAAGGACTAGGACTTGTACTGTTCTAGTACTAAATCATTGTAGAAAACTTAACACTTATTTAATGCACAGAATTTTGACCCAAATAGCCAAGAACAGTGGTTCTGAACCCTGGTCCTGGAGAAACATTGTCTCTTTTGGTGTTTGCTAATTGGTTTCAGTTTGTGAGGCATATTTGTAAATTGAATAAGCTCTTTATAACTGGTATCAGCACCTGTACCAGTTTCTGAGTTTCAAACCTGCCTTGATTCAGGTGTGTTGCTGAAATGTAACCATTTGGACCTCTGCAAAAGCAAAATTGTCTGATACAATGTCATCACCACCTGTGTCCGTTCATCATCAATCAAGAAACTAATAAGAGCTTTTTAGTCAAAAATAAGGGTAAGCCAGTTGAGGAGAGGTTACGTCTTGTTCTGCGAGCAGAAGTTGCTTGAAACTGTGTCCCTCAAGTAGAGTATTTTTTGGGGTGCACTATGTATTGGAGGCCGATATATTATTCTCCGATAAATAGGAAAATTGAATTATTATTGTTCCGATACTGGAATTCCAGACAATGATTACAATTGATAATGCGGCGTCCTATTTTTGTTTGCGCAACTAGTTTTTTTTTTTTTATCTGCACGCATTGATTCACCATTCACCAATGCAGACTTTTTCACCATTTCAGCAGAGGACAACGGAATTGCAATTTGCAACAACTGTTCAGCCGAGGTACAGCAAGGAGGAAACAAAGAAAAGAGTTTCAATACCACTAATCTAATTAGTCATTTGAAAACTCGTCATTCCAATTATTTATTTAAAGAATATGAGGCAGCTAGCATTAGCAAGAAAACAAAAACGGTAGCAAGTGCAGCGATGCCTATCCAACAGGCATTTGAAAATGACAGAAAAGTTTACAGAAAAACCTTTTTCGATTGTGAAGGATCGAGGATTCTGACAACTAAGTAAGCATCTGGAGCTCCGTTATTCTCTCCCAAGCTGCCACTGCTTTTCTGATGTTGCCTTGCCGGCTCTGTATGATGTAGTCGCTGCTAACGTCCGAGACATTAGCTTCACAACAGACATAGGGACTTCTGACGTTAGTCTGATGAGTATGCTAAGCTTTAGAGAGTTTTATCTTTCGTACCCTCTTTACACATCAACTGTGGATTATAAGTGGGAACTTGTTTTAAAATGCAAAAAAGTAAAATTATCGGTATCTGTATTGGCCACGTCAAGCTGTTAATTATCGGTTATTGTTATCAGCCCAGAAATTCCATATCGGTGCATACCTAGCATTTTTTTAATCTGTGGGCCGATAGAAGAAACAAGATAAATAAAGGTCACCCCAATCAAGCCTCTCAATTAGCACTGCAGATGTAGGGCACAGCTGGTATGAAGACCAGCAAACAGTGTTCCTCCAGGACAAGTTTGGCAGCCAGTGGCATAGAATTCACCTCTGAGCTACACATAGGACTGCTAGGTATTGCTGTATTTAGCTTGATTGTGTGGTGCTTTGGTACTGTCCCCCAGGGAATTGGGTAGACCACATAACAGGAGTTTGAACCCAGATCTCTAGAGGGTCTCAAGTTGAACAACATTCCTTATTGATAAACATGATTTCTTTATTCAATATTATTCTTTATTCTGGGTCATGTGATTAAGGCCAGATGGGGGTATATGGTTGTTGTTCTCTGTAGAAAGAGTACAACAAATTATATTGCTCATGCAATATAATTCTTTAAGAAGTTTTCACTCTCGTTCTGTCTCTCTTGACTGTCTTGCTGTTTCTTTTCCATTCCCTCTTTTCTGTCCTTGTGTCTTATGTGAACTCCTCAGCAGACCAGTGTTGCGTGGAGGGTCTGCTTCTGCATCTTCCTCTAACCCTCTCCACGACTCCAGGTAAACTCTTCCTGCGGGTCCCAGCACAGCCCGTTCGAAAAGTTCCCCAGTGCCCCATTAGGTTGTTTTTTTTTTTGTTTGTTTCTAGCTTTTTTTTAAATTAACCGTTTTGTCGGGGTACGCAATCTGATTCGTGTGTGTGCTTCTGAAAAACTGTCTTGAATTTCTGTGTTCTTCTGAAAAGTTGTTCTGTATTTATAGATAGTTTTTACTGTACATACTTTAAAAGATAGTGGCATCTCAAATACATTCAGATGTTCTGTAGCAGGCAGCCGTTGCCATCCTTGATTTTAAACAGTTATTTAGTTTATGTTTAAACTATGCTTTAATTTACAACTTTTTAATTGAAGGAGAACAACCTGAGTGCTTAGTGAATTTCAGATATTTACAGATATTTGTTGTAAATAATAGGAGTTTGATGGAATTACTTATCTGAATCCCAGAATCACCTTTGAATATTGCTATGATGAATTCAGTGTTCAATTAACTTTGAATTAATTAGCTGTAATTCAATTAGATTAATCTACTAAGCAATATTTCTGAAACTACATGAATATTGTTTCAAGAGAGGGATGCCAGTACTTCGGCCTTCTTCTGTATGCAGGCATACATTCTCGGCCTCTGTAGATATTTTTAAGTTTGGAAGTTCTTAATCATGTGTAAAAAAAAAAGAACTATTTTGGGAGCTGTATCAGATAATAAATCAGTTCTGAGTAAAAACTCAGGTCTGGCTGTTGAGAGTTTGACAAGCAATAAATAGACATTTTTTCCTCCTTGAAAGGTTCGGTTTGTCAACTTTGGATTCGACATTGGAAGGGACTCCTGACGACATGACTGTTGTGGACGCTGCATCCTTGAGAAGACAGGTTCTGTTGTTGTTGTTGTTGTTGTAATTTCCCTTTTAAATAAGAACCCCTTCAGTTGCCCAAGCAGCGTGAGAAAGATTAGTTTGTTGTCAGAATCATGGGGTTCCATCAAAAGACACTAACAAACTCTAAGAAAAAAGAAACTTTGTTTAATGTGCTGTAAAAGGTCAGGTGCCTGCTTTCCGAAAACCTTTAAGTGACATCTTCATGTCAGTTTACATTCCTTAAAGTGTATGTTAAAGGAATTACGATAATCTTTATGCACTGAGAACTGTGGAACAACCAAGCATTATCATTACGAGCCTGTGCATGTCTCTGGCATGGGTTGCGTTGTCTATGACTGCTTCATTAGGGCATTCACTCACTGATGAATACTGTAGTGAATAGTGGCTGTCTTTGCAATTTTCCATACAGAGGTGCACTATTTGAACTTAAAATATTCCTTCAATGGTGCTGAAAAACCAAGGGATAAAAATACAATTCAACTTCTTCTCCAAATACAGAGATAAGTCAAACAGGCAATTAAGATCAGTTGTATTTCCTCTTTAAAATAGCCATTTGATCTGTAAAACCCTGCTGTATAGGAATATATGTGAATTCTTTAATAACCCAAATTAGTATTACATTAGAACAAATGAGGATATTTATACATGACGTCATGTGTTATTGGTCGGTTACACACTTTGAAGACCAGAACAACTGCACAATGCCTGGGTAATAAACAGGCTTGATGCTCTAATATTTGGAGGATCTAATATTGCCATTATAGAAACAAATGAGGTAAGGAACTTTACCTCGGTTTTGAAGTAAAGAAATTTGGCACTTTACTGATGTAAGATTTTTTTCTTTATCTTGTAGATCATAAAACTGAACCGGCGCCTTCAGCTTCTTGAAGAAGAAAATAAAGAGCGTACCAAAAGAGAAATGATCATGTACTCCATCACTGTGGCTTTCTGGCTGGTCAACAGCTGGATCTGGTTCAGACGCTAAGGGCACCACTGATCAGGCAGCTTCTGCAAGGAATCTATTTTCTTATTGTAAAGTGTTAAAGATGGATTGGCAAATCTACTCTCAGCACCTAGTCCCAGCACTGGAAAGACATCTCCTAGTAAGAAAAAAAGAACTGTAAGGCAAAGGGATGTTTGTTTTGTTTTAAAATGGCTATACCTGTATTATGTTTTTTTTTATTTTTAATGTTTCTTGTTTTAAGAGATGTCCAGTGTGCATTTACAAAATAAGCATGTTTCAGATGTAAATATTCAGGAATTTTCTTTGCATAAGCTTTTAGTGGTAAATGTTTTTTCCACAATATCTGCTTGTCCAAGAGGGACAGAGGTGGGATAGAAATCAAAGTAGCAATCATTATATTCACACAGGCAAAGGAAACTGATGTGTAAAAAACAGCGGAGGAACTTGAATGTCTGAAGTATGCCATATATAAATTTGTGACCGTAATACTCTTATTGTGTAGAACGTTCAGCTGACTGCAGATCCATTGTTTGTCTCTCTGCACCTGTTTCATTATTACACTTTAAACAATGTTTGATTGCTTTCACATGTTGAAAATAAAAGCACTGTATTGCATATTAGTTGACTGAAATCAAATGTTCCTGTACAGCATATTGAAAACACTAGCGTGATTTTTTCCTCAGCAGCAATTAGGAAGTGCCCATGCCTTTAGATGTTTATTGTATTTGTATTCACCTTAATTCATACTCTTGTTTTCTGGCGGGTTTGCTCAATTGCAACTCTATGTATTATGAGACAACAGTAATGAAGTAAACATTTTATGTAAATAAATGGTGGCAATAGCTCATGCATGTAGGTTTCTTTGGCTGTTTTCGTAAAACCTTTTTGCTAGACGGTCCGTTACACTATTTCAGTCTTATGGGTGGGTGCGTGGGAGCCCATTTGTCCATTTGCTGTCAGAAAGCCACTTACTTCTCCAAAGGATCTCTGCATCTGAGAGCTTCTCTAGGGCTCAGAGTACGACTACACCCTGGCTGAAATGCCAGTCCATCACAAGGCACATAAGCAGGACAATAGTGTACCAGTTAACCTGGCCAGGCTTGGCCCCTGGGGTTTGGGATGTGAGATGATATTGCAGCACCTGGAGAGATCTCTTGCAGACATGGGGAGAAGACAGATCTGGAGTGGGCAGGCTGGTGTGCAAGCAGGATTCTTCAGTCTCTTCTAAGCAGGAGCAGCCCCTGAAGAGCTGGGAGCAGTTACTAAATTTTACCGTTAAGTCAATATCAAGCTGATTTAGGTGGAGTTGAATTGGTATTTAAATCTGCAGATACAATAACCCTCTTAAGAACAGGATTGCCCATCCCTGATATACATATTCTCCTATGCTGGACTAAATCCCAAGCCAGAAGAGTTGTAAGGCAACAGTTCTAATTACTATGCCACAATGTCTACCGTGAGTGTTTTACATTAGAGTCTCCCAGTCAGGCAGTACATTCTGATCTGAACTGTTCCAGAACTAAAGAAATGGAGCAACCCACAACAGTTTTGGAAATAAACTCAAGAGGAGGGTAAATCAGATATTTAATTATTTTTTTCAAGATGTCTGATAATTGACTAATTGTCTTCTTTTTAACCAAGGGAATAGGTTTAAGGTCCAATGCTTCTTTATATCCCATGGGTCAGTGTGCAAAAAAAAGCAATGTTTAAGAGGGCTTCTCTTAAGCAGTTTCATTAGTTCAATAAAATGATTGTCCAATTAACTACAGTAATAGCTGTGGTGTAGGGAAAATTGAAAGATCAATTTAGACCTTGAGGACCACATTTTAAGAGCTCTTCTCTGATTAAATTATTTTAAAAACATTCTGATATTTGATGATAAAATACTTATAATACAATTGGGTAAATGTAAGATTCCTTCTCTTTCCTGTGAACGTCTGTTTCAGCTAGCTTTAACCTTAATCCAGGGTGATGCTGCACATTGGTGGCGGTGGAGGGGAGTCCCCATTACCTGTAAAGCGCTTTGAGTGGAGTGTCCAGAAAAGCGCTATATAAGGGTAAGCTATTATTATTATTATTATTATTATTATTATTATTATTATTATTATTATTTATTAATTAATACTAACCATGTGAGTAAATGTCCCATTTTCATTTCTTGTGTGAGTGCCAATTGTATCCATCATGAAATTCCGCTCCAAACCACAAATACTCAGGAATATATACATTATAGGTAATCGGTAATGTTGGAGTACATATAAGTTAATTGTTTTGTAACGTCACAACTTAAAATTTTCTTTTTTTTCAATACCACATAACGAAAACCGGATTAGACGTAGCCGGAACTAAACTTCTTATGTTCTTGAATGTAGTAGGGAATTGTATTGGTGGTGCACGCTGTTACTGAGACGTGATGTCTGTTTTACAAGCGGGTCGTATACTATCTCCTTTAGGAGTCCACTTCCACAATGTGTGTCGGAGTGTTCTCTTCATGCAAACGCGAGATAAGAAGCGATGGATGAAATCGTATATGTTTTTGATGGAAAGAAAAAGAAAACTTGAAGGACCACCGCCACCAACTCCCCGGTAAGGCACACTGTGTTTCCCGTGGTATAGAGATCGCGTCAAGGCCACTGCCGTCTCTGATGTTACAATGGTGTACAAATGTTTTACATTCCCTATAAAGTTTTTCGTTGTGCTTAAATAATAAACACAGTTTAAATAAAGTGGTCACATTTATTAACTTTATTCAAATGGTATATTTGGGACAGTCGTGACTTCTGATGTTGTTAGTGTTTTCCAGACTGCTATCTGTAAGGTGTGTAGTTTTAATTTCAGAAGCATACTGTGGTTAAATTCCATAATACACCAAATGTCAGGTGAAACAGAATAAACTGCTTGTGCAGTTCTTACCATTAAAACTTCAGTATCATTTGGGTTACCTCAGAACTCGATCTTTCATGTAACAGCAGAGATGTTTATAGTTATAGTTTGTGATCCATCCATTGTCATGAGTATCAGATTAAAAGGAAGAATCGTGTCATTACATCACATATTTTAAACTATAAAAGTTTGCGCGGTATCCCATCTCCCAGTATTTTCGACAGTATTTGCGCTTGGTCGCATGGGTTTCTTGAGGTAGTTTGCTTCCACAGTAGATAATGTAAATTTGTCCTCCTAACTTAACAATATTACGGTTCCGAAGCGTGGAACTGTCAGATGAAAACTAAATCACCTTACTTATTTAACATAAGTAACTGGAGACTTAGTGGCACAGTTACAGTGCTTCACGGATGCAATCTTTGCTGCCGCTCACCTATTAAAGACCGTTTTGCAGGTAGTTATTTCATGGTCATAGTATACTGTTAATGCATTTTCTGCCAAGCTTTCGCATTTTATATTGCTGTGAAAGTTAAAAGTACTTATTTCAGTGGTGTTTATTATCCCCTTTTCTCCTGAAACCGCATATGTATGCGAAAATTGAATTTAGGTAACAAATATGTATTTTTGTGTCGTCTACAGTTTCTGCAGAAACTGGAAAGGAAACAGAATATCTCCTCTCATCAGTGTAAAGCATAAATCTGTGTCACCTGCTTGCAATAACTATTTCATGTTTTTGTCAGCTCTCACCAGCCGAACTGGGACTATCATGCAGAAATTCAAGCCTTCAACGCTAGGCTCCACGAGAATGTTTCCCTCGATCTCCTCAAGACTGCCTTTGTTAACCCTTGCTACATCCGGTCTGAAGAGCTGAACCGTAAGGAGCTGGGTCTGGATAAGGAGGCCGTCGCTCTCAATCTGAAAAGCAACGAAGAGCTCAGCAGCCAGGGCCTGCAGTTCACTCAAAGTTACCTTGCTGACTGGTGCAGAGGCACCTACCCAAGCTTGCCAGCAGAGGGCGTGGGCGCCATTGTGAAGTATTTGTGTGAGCCGGACACCGTGTGCCATGTGGCAAGAAATCTGGCTGTGGAGGACCTCACACTGAGTGCCCAGTTCCCTGTGCCAGATGATGTGCTGCACAAGACCTTTTTTGCTGTGGTAGGAGCACTGCTTCAGAGCAGTGGGCCACAGAAAGCTGGGTATTTTAGCCGGGTACGTTTTTTATTTAAAAACAATACTCATCTTTACTTCAGAAAAGTCTGAGCTGTGCTTATGCACTAGAAAGTACTCTTTATCAATATTCAGATCTTCCTGATGCATTCTTTAAAGCATTTTATTATGGTCCCTTTTGAAGCAAATGGTCTACTGATATACTGCTGTGAAAATGAATGACTAAAGCATAACCCACGCTTCTACAGGAATATGTCAACTCTTTGTTAGCCAAGCTGTACTGCAGAGGCCGATGTCGGTCCTGTGAAGCAGACCTGCGGTATAAAGATAAAGGGGGTGTCTGCATCAACTCTCTCACTGCACAGCCTGTGAATAGGCGATTTTGGTGTGCAGTCGCAGATAAAGTGGTCACAAATCGCAAATGTGCAACTGTCAATTATTGTGGTTGTACTGTATGTATATACACACAGACTATTAACAGAAACTCTGAGCAAAGTCAAGTTTAAAGGTATTTTGGACTTTGAATATTGATTTGATTTTTTATTATTCGTGGCTAGCTGTGAGCTACATGAAGGGTTTGTGTGTGTAAGTGCTAAATAGGCTCATTAGTAAGAGTGCTGATGATGAGGTGACTTAGACTGTTACATATTAATGGGAACCAGTATGGACCACTTACCAACACACCATGGCCTTTGTGACCTCGGAGACTGGACGTGCTTGCCTCTGGTGGACTTGCCAGCAGTGGATCTGAGTCATGTTTAGTGATTAATAATTGCTTACACTTATGTAGCACTTTTCTGGACACTCCACTGAAAGCGCTCTGCAAGTAGTGGGGACTCCCCTCCACCACCACCACCAATGTGCAGCATTCACCTGGATGATGCGGAGGCAGCCATAGTGCGCCAGAACGCTCACCACACATCAGCTATCAGTGGGGAGGAGAACATAGTAATGAAGGCATTATTAGGAGGCCATAATTGGTAAGGGCCAATGGGAACTTTGGCCAGGATGCCGGGGTTATACCCCTGCTCTTTTCAAGAATGGATTTTTAATGACCACAGAGAAGGACTGCAGTATATTATTTTTTTACAGCATTGTGTCCCTATCACTATACCGGGGGCATTAGGACCCACACAGACTACAGGGTGTGCGCCCCCTACTGGCCCCACTAACACCTCTTCCAGCAGCAACCTTAGTTTTTCCCAGGAGGTCTCCCATCCAGGTACTGACCAGGCTCACACCTGCTGAGCTTCAGTGGGCTGCCAGTTGTGAGTTGCAGGGTGATATGGCTGCTGGCTAGTGATGTGTACAGATAGAGTGTAGTACAGACATGTAGAACGAAACGCTCATTGAGACGCAGGATGAAGTGTGATGGTCCGGGCAGGAGTGTCTAGTCGCTACAGATCTCTGCTTGTAGTGTTTAATAGCCACATGATCTCTTGGAGCTACACACTGATCAAATCCCGGGACACCCCATTCTGCTGGGTCAGTCTGGCGAGATGGCACATGTCCTGATGCTGCCCATGTCCCAGCGGCCTTCTTGCAGGAGGAGGATGTGACAGCTATGTATCGGATGCCCTGCTCGCCAGGCGTGAGCCCCCTTTGGCATTTGTAGGATATGTAAGGACAACATCTAGGGCTTAGGAAGCCATGAGCAGGAACATGTGTGACGAGGCTCATTGAGATAAAAAGGACAGGAGCCCACAAGATAGCATCTGTCTGGAACTTGGTGCAAAGCACCTGTCACAGATGTGCAGCTTGTATTGTTTCTAACTGTGGTCAGTCCGTATAATGAATTCGCCCATGCCGTGTCTGATTTATAAAACACCAGTGCACCTGTTACAAAAGGATTGTCATTTTCTTGACAATCACCTTGTAAATTTGTTGCAGTTATCAGTGATAATGTTTTGTTTGGTGGCACGGTGGTGCAGTGGTTGCTATTGGTGCCTCATGTCTCTAGGGCCCTGGGTTAAATTCCTGGAGTGCTATCTGCATGGAGTTTGCATGTTCTCCCTATCTTCTTGTGGGATTCCTCTAGGTGCTGTAGTTTCCTCCCACAAGTCCAAAAACATGCTGGTAGGTCAATTGCCTTCTGTAAAATTGGCCCTAGTGTGTGTGTTTGTCTCTGTGTGTGCTCTTTTTAAAAGAAAATACCCACAGCGTATGAAAGCATTGCCTTGTTCTCCGCAGGATTTCTTAGTAACCCAGCTGATTGGCAAAGATCTGTTTGAGCTCTGGAGGGTCTTTAACCCAATGGGTCTACTGGTGGAGGAACTGACCCGCAGGGAGATCTCTCTCCCAGAGCCCAGGATAACAAGACAGGCCGGAGTCAGTACTGTGCTTCCTCTCTACTTCGTTGGGCTGTACAGGTCTGTATGAAAATAATTCAGGTTGAATTTCAGTTCAGTTTAAAACAAAAGACCCTTCGGTGCTTCCGTCCTGCAAACACTGGTGTTTGGAGGCCAGCTTCCTCATGCGCATTTCTGAACCTTCCTGTATTACATTTAGCAGTATCTTACAGATAAGAAACGACTTTCCTTTGGCAGCACGGGTTAGCTTGTGCGGTATACTTGCATTGTATTAAAAAAACAACAATCATCTCTTTTTACTTCCTGTACCTTCTTAAATTGCCATCTGGGGAGTAATCCTGAGGTTAAGGAACAAGGTTGGTGCTTTGAGCTTCCTGCTTTGAACTTTAATTCCTGACTCTGCCACCAACACACGTGTGTAACCCCGTGCCACTTTCTTAACTTCCTTGTGTTCTGTCCCCTGGAAGAGATGTCAGATTGAGGTCATTTTGTAAGAGTTCCACAGCAGAAAGATGTTGATGCCTGCACCCCTTAATCTCTTTAAGCACATTGCTGAAAGGCTTCCTCCCAATCCCGTGCCTGGAGGCCCACACACCTGCTGGGACTTGTTCCTACAAATCTTTGATACGGAATTGAAACTTTGATTGACTTCCTACTAGGATTACAACTCTTTGACCGTTTTCAGCTCTTAAAAACAGGCTGGAGGTTGCCTTCTTATCTATTTCATTGCATAAGTAAAATCGCAAGCGTTTGCGTAGCAAAGGAATTATTCCAGTCAACCCCTGCAAGTTCCATTACGGTTTCAATTAGGTAATTAGTTGATTGGCTGGAATGAAAACTGGCAGGCGTGTGGACCTCCATGACCAGTATTGCGAACCCCGGCTCTAATCGACGTCCGATCTCCACAGAAGGCGGGGTTGTCTCGCAGGGAACTGTGTGGGCTGTTTCGGCTTCGTGTATCGTGATCTGGTCCCTGTCGTATTTGCAGTGATAAGAAGCTGATCGCCGAGGGACCCGGTGAGACCATTCTTGCTGCAGAGGAAGAAGCAGCAAGAGTTGCACTCCGCAAGATCTATGGCTACACAGAGAACAGGCGCCCCTGGGACTTTTCCACACCAAGAGAGGAGACAACAGCAGCCCAAGCCATCGGCAGCAGTTAGACAGCCGACAGTGCTGCAGCTGTACTTGGGCTGTATAATAATCATCTGTTCCATGTGGAGAGGGTGAACGTGCTCAGGTCTACGTTATTTGTAAATGGACACAAATCTATTGTCTGTTAAGTCTCCAGTTTTTTTCAAAGGATTAATACCGATCTTGTGAATTTCTTGATTGTTCATTGATATTTGTGAGAGCGTTCAGATTTTTAAAAAAATACACTTCAAAATGATCATGAGCAGATGGTGGGTGTATATTAACTGGAAGGCAGTGTGTTCCAAGTGTACTTCAGTTTTATTGTCACAGATATTCCCATTCTGTAAAACATTAAATAGAACAACAAAAGTGAATACTGATTTTTTTTTTTAAATAGTGCAAAAATAATTCCAGGGGTAAGAAACCAGTAGGCAAACACTGCTGTATGATTAGGATTTCAGACAAGAAGCGGAGAGATAGGTCTCAATGGGATTTTACCAATCATGGTACTGAAAAATCGTCGCCTTGCTGAAAATAAGAGACTGGGGATGACACAGGTGAGACTTTGTTTGAAAAGGCCTTTTAAGTGGATATACCTCTCAAAGTCTTTTAGTTTTGAAAACTGTTGTAACAAAATATTTTAATTTAGGGAGAAAGTCTTCTTTTCTTGGGTTTTGGCTAGATGGATGTTACTGTCAATGGAGTGATTTCTTTAACAGACTGTTTTTCTGAATTCTAATGATCAATGAAGAAGCCCATGTTAGATCCTAATTAAATTGTGTAGTTGTGTGATTAAACTTCACGGCCTCTCCTCCTCTTTGAGGTGCCGCACAAGCATCCACAGATTCCTGCCACTATCTGCAAAAGACTAAAAATGATTTCCAGCAGGGCCACAACACTCAATCCGGAAAAGGTGATAAGGTGCAGATTTACAATCTGGCTCTCGTCCAGGTTCGTGAAAGAGTGCCCTAGAGGAACCCAGGTCCCGTTTCCCTCTCCTCCAGTGCTGTTGTGACAGCCGTCGAACTGCAGATACCATCCAATGTCAAAATTCAACGTGGACAAAGAGCTGGAAAACAGGCCCCAGACAGTTCTTAGACAACAATGAACGGAATCAAAACTTTGTAAGGCTCAACATGTGGCCCTTCCAGTCCAGACTTTTACAAAGAGCTCCTTATTTACTTGTGTCTATCCAGTCAAAAGTATTCTGGGGCATCCTGCAGTCACAGCCTAGATGGGCCAAATTTGTAACCTTTCTTACCTTATTAAGTGACCATCAACAGAGTCAACGTAGTTAACTATAGTGCTGGTTGTATTGTAAATCTGGATCGGAGCAGATTGGAATGAACTCAACCAACTCAGATCAGCTGCTGTTTTCCAATGAATGCAATAAATATTGGTGGCTTCATTACCACCTAACCTGCTAATATATCAACTGAAATTTAGAAATGTTGCAATTTGTGCCGGATCATTTTAATTGTAGATAATCCTTACCTGATGTTACCTAAACTGAAAGTGCAAGAAGATAATCCAGCATCGGGATCCTGGCAAATGAGTGGCCCACTTGCAAGGGCGATCAGCGATATCAGCACACAGTAAATGGCACCGACGATGCTGATTATACAGAAGAAGGCTGACAGAAGCATCTGGGAAAAAAAGCAAAAGTGGTCTTCATCATCCAGAGGTGTGGTACTAGAAGGAATCGCCTGAATTTCGGGATTAGGGACTCCTGTCACACGAAACTTGTGTAGATCATTTACAGCACTTGAGTACAAGTTACTGTAGAAGCGAGTGAGTCATCAGCTAATTGGTCTCCAAATAGAAACTTAAAGTTCACCTTTTAATCATGTGGCGACACGGTCCTATAATTATCCTCGTGAAGAAACGGACACCTTACCCCAGTTCGGGAGTTACAGCTTCCCCTCTTTTTTGCAGCAAAAGTCATTGCTACTGCAGGCAGAACCTATCAAAGGGGAAAAAAAACAGAGTTTGAATTGTTGCTTTTCTACGGATTAATGCTTTTGTTGGGTGTGTTTTATGATTGTCTCTGTCTGATTTTATTTTCTGCTTTATCTGTTTTACAAAAACATATCCAGTTCCATCAGCCTTTGATATTGTTTCCTGGTTTGTGTGAGCCACAAAGCATGCAGGACTGGAGTTTTGCATGCGAGATATTTCCAGCCCAGATCTTGTGTCACTGTTGACAGGGATTGTTCGGCTCTCCACAGAGCCGGGAGACCAGGCCTGATGAATCCGGCTCCTGCAATGCAACACGATCCTGTCGGCTGTTTTGAAGGAATTCAGTCGGCCGTCTTCATCAGTGCTTAGCCTGTTGTGTACATCTGACTCAAGGAGCTCTGAGACGGATCATGTGCAAAGAAAATGATGCAAATGGCAACAAGTTCTTTCGGATGTGTCAGAAACGTGGGCTTGGTGATGCAGTCTGGCTGTTGCTATGAAGCCAGACTACGCTTCAGAACAGAAGAACAGTTACAAACGAGAGGAGGCCTTTTGGCCCATCTGGCCTGTTTGATCCCAGGATCTCATCCAGATGTTTATGTGAAAGTAGCGATTGTGTCAGCTTTAACAACATGGCTGGGTAGCTTGTTCCACACCCTACTCCCACAACCCTTTGTGTAAAGAAGTGCCTCCTGTCCTGATTGGAGCAGCTCATCCGGATATTTATTTGAAAGATGCTGAGGTATCAGCTTCAACGTCATGGCTGGGTAGCTTGTTCCACACTCCCACAACTCTTTGGCTAAAGAAGTGCCTCCTGTTCTCAGTTTCAAATGCACTTTCAGCATATTCATTCTACGCAGGGGCACACAGCAATAAAGTTGGCTTTCCAGTATAATGCTAATGGACATGGAGTGGGGTAACTGTGTCCTACATTTTATATAAAGATCATGTCTTTTTGAAATACATGAAATAAAGAAACTCGTATGTTCAGCTTGTCTGTAATTAAGAGGAACAGAGTTCTACAGGTGAGCAGCACGACAATGAAAAACTCTAGTTCTAACTTACTTCCCAGATGGGCTAAGAGTCTTCGGGTTTTGGTCCAACATAGGAAGTCAATTAAATAATTAACCTCATTATTATTCTTAATTAGACTTTCAAAAGATTTTTCTTAACATCTTTCACAGTTGATTACTGAAAGAATAGACTTCAATAAAAGTATAGTTAGCTATAAAACACCTTAACACCCGATTATAAGTATAAACTGTTAAATAGTACGACCAGTTAAGCAATTAAGAATGGGTGGCACACTGGTGCAGTGGTTACCATTACTGCCTCATGGCACTGTGGTGCATACTCTCCCCGTCACACTTCAAGCGTAGTGTAGTGTATTTAATCATAAACAGTTTTTTAGCGCTCTTTTCATAAATTGCTTACATTTACTATGACTAAACATCTATTAACAGATTATCAAGATTCAACGAACTGACAAAGGTGGGAGTGACAATATATCAAACATGCCCACAATGAGCTTTTTGTCCTGCTGCAGAGGTCTAGTTGGTTGCATTTCAGGCAGGTATGTGAAAAAGATAAATTCCTAATAGAGAAATTGTATATGGCCAATAAAGTGATCTTTATTTTTAAGACAATTTAAAAACATGCCCCCCAAATCAATTTCAACTGAAACTGAAGTCAGCTACCGTTTGATTATTAACTCTGGAGCAAAATCAGAATGAACATGGCTCCCCCAGAAACAAGGTTAGGAACAATTTTATTTAATGGATGGTGATCATGATACTGATTTCTTTCTGTCAGTTTAAAATTGCTGTAATATGAGGCGACATGGTGGTGCAGCGGTCAGCATTGGAGAGTTTGAATGTTCTCCCCATGTTTGTGTGGGGTTTCCTCACGCAGTCCAAAGACATGCTGGTAGATTAAAACGTTTCTGGGAAAACTGGCCCTAGCGTGCGTGTTTGTGCGTGCGTGTGTGTGTTTGTGTCTGTCTGTGTCCTGTGATGGACTGGAGTCCTGTCCAGGATGTATCCTGCCTTGCACTCGTTGCTTGCCAGGATAGGCTCCGATGCCCCTGTGAGGCTGTGACACTGAGTTCAATAAAGTGGTAAGAAAACTGACGGATGTAATATGTTGAGAATGTCTGGTGTGAGAAAGTCCTCTGACAGCTGCATTTTGAGGAGATGAGGAAATGAAGGGAGGAGTGGTGGCTCTGTGGCTAAGGATCTGTGCCTGTGGCTGGAAGGCTGCTGGTTCAAATCCCACAGCTGGCAGAGGAATCCTACTCTGTTGGGCCCCTGAGCAAGGCCCTGAACCCCAACTGCTCCAGGAGTGCTGTACAATGGCAGACCCTGTGCTCTGACCCCAGGGGTATGTGAAAAGATAATTCCTAATGTGAGAAATTGTAAAGGGTTAATAAAGTGATGTTATTATTATTATTATTAATAATAAACATGCCATGAAGTTGGAGACCCTGCCATCTATGAGATCAGAAATTCTACAGCAGTCTCGTTGATCTCTGGTCAGTTACACCAGAGCAGTTTATCACAGATCATTCTTTCTAGATTAGACCTGCAACTTAATGCTTTTCATCATGAATTTCACAGACTCTTTTGCATGCATCTGTGGTGATCAGTGCTGTTGCCTCACAGTTCTTTGGTCCTGGATTTGATTCTGACTTTGAGCAACGTCTGTAAGGAATTTGCATGTTCTTCCCACGTATATGTGGGATTTCTCCTAATTTTTCAAAACAACAGGAGGCATGTTAGGTTTCTTAACTAATATCTCTTCATTCTCCCTTTATGTGTGGACTGCTGTCCTGTCCCGGGTGTAATCCCAGCTCACCCCAGCTGGGCTTCAAGAATGGGCTCCATGTTGCCATAACCCTTAGCAGGGCTTCGTGATAAGGGATCGATGAATGAAGTAAACTCTTAACACAAATCTCCTCTGATACTTACAAGGATACCACCTCCCAAGACTCCTGGGAGCCACCACTCAAAGCAGGAGACAGGCTTCTGGAACAAGCGTCCATCCATGGAGTAATCCGCAAACAGCGGGAGCAGGTTGAATGCAATGGCGAGGATGCAGAGAGAAATGAGGAAGAATCCATTGCAGGAGGTAAACCCTTCACAGCAAGTCATGTTGAAGCCCCAGGAGACAGCAGCTGACAGGTCTTCAGATTCCTCAGAAGCATACAAATGCTTCACGTCTTCTTATTATAAACTCTTTCTGGTTAATCATTATCTAGAAAACAAACACTTCCTCTAAGGTGCCCAGTCAAGAGTCCATTTAAGAAGAAAGAAATTCTTTAAGAAAATGCTTTGTTCATACGTGTAATGTGTGAGTGACTTGAAACAACCATTTGCGAGCTTACATACCGCCCTCCTTACCAGACGACATTTGATTGTACAACATTCAAAAGACACTTTTGTAAAGCATTTTTTAGATTATTTTTTTTATTTTTACATAGTGGGCATCAGAAGGAACATCTTCCCAGATCGCAAACATTTCACAAACCTGCTATTGGGATAAGGAGAGGGACATCAGCACAGCCATTTCATTGCCTTTGTGTCCAGAATTCAATTCCAGTCTGGGATACCGTCTGAGTACATTTCCCCTGAGCTGAGAGGGTTTTTTCAAAAGTGCCCTGGCTTCCAGCCTGCGTTCCGAAGACATGTTCTTAAGGTCAATTGGCATCTCTAAGCTGTCCCACATAGAGTGTATGTTCCCTGCCCAATCAGGGTGTCCGTTGCAGGGTTCAAGTTCAAGTTTATTGTCATTATACTCAAATACAGTTATATGGTCTAACGAAATGCTATTTAGCTAGCTCTCAGACGATAAGTAGTACAAAAAAACAACAATACAATTGTATAATAAAAGAAAGACAGACATCAGGCAGTGTGCAAAATAACAACAGGCAATGTACAGAACAACAAAAGGTAACAGGTAATGTGCAAAACAACATCAGATGTGCAAAATCATACATCGACAGAATTAAATAAAGGATAGAAAATTA